TTCGAACTTTTTAATATCGATAGAGCGGAAAATTGTTTATCCGGTTGACTTCGATTCACCACGCTGCATAAAATTTACCAATTACGCTTTAAATATTATAAAATCTTAAATTTGGCTTTTAAATTACTCAATTATTTGAGTATATTCTTAAAATGAAATTGTTACCCCCGATAGAAAAGTTAAATATATTAGATAATAATCAGCATGGTTTTCGAACGGGACGATCTTGTACAACAGCATTGACAGTATTTTCACAGAATGTTTTTAATGAATTAGACAAACCGAATTAAATTGTGGTGGTTGCTTTTATTGACTTAAGGAAAGGATTTGATTCGATCTCCCATTATCACCTATTAAAAATGCTGCGTGAATTTTATAAAATTAATGCGAAATTGTTATTATTAATATGTAATTATTTAAGAAATAGACACCATTACATTAAAATTGGTGTTTTTATCTCAAGAGCATTCGTTGTAAATCGTGGTATCGGACAAGGTTTTGTTAATGGTCCAGTATTGTTTTTTTTTTATTTGTAAATGACATCGCAACGGTTTTAACGGATTGTTTTTATACTTTATTTGCTGATGATGCTTCTGTGCAAATTAGTGGGAGCGATATTAATGTTATTATAAACGAAATGGGTGATAAATTGTGTAATTTAAATAACTGGTTAGAAAGCAAAGGTTTAAGTATGAATAAGGAGAAGACAAAATACATGGTTATCAGGAAAAGGCAAAATTGTACAACTTTTGAGAATTTACCACCTATACTAATTAATGGAGTGGAAATTGAAAGAGTTAGCTCATATAAATATTTAGGAGTCGTTGTAGATGAATTTTTTTCATTCAAGGCCCATTCAGAAAGTGTGCAAAAGAGAGTTAGTATTAATATTGGATTACTGAGCAGGCTACGACGACATCTCACACGACATATGCTTACTGTTTTGTTAAATGCATATGTAAATGCGGTGACCGATTATTGTCTGACAATATGGGGTCCCAGTAGAGTAGGTGACTTTACAAGAATACAAGCCAAAGTGAATCAACTGTTAGCTACCTATTGTTATCCAAAGTTAGCGAAATATTATACCAAAACTTACTGGAAATGTCAATTTGATAATACTACTGTAGCGAATGCAAGAGCAAGTTGCAAAAAGTCACATGCTGGCATAAATTATGATGATTTGTTAGAAAAATTTAACTTATTGTCGATTAAAGAGAGGCTAGAGTATTATGCTATATGGAATTTGTTCAAGATAAAAAAATATGGGACTAATGTAAATGAATTTGATAATATGTATACATTAAACGAAACAGGGCATAGAACTAGGAGTTCGCAGAAAATGCACATAATAACGCACAGCTCTGTCATTTTTACGAATTCAGTGCGCTATTACTCAATTAAGTTATGGAATACTTTAGACGCGCAAATGCTACATGAACTTTTTAGTGAGAACATACATATATCAGGAAATGTACGAAGTCGTATCACGGAGTTTGTTATGAAAAAACGTACAAGTAACTTTGTTTAGATCATAAGTAAATACCACATTGTGTAGTTAATTTAGTTTCTTTACTCAATCTATTTTTTAGTGTTACTTGATGTAAACCAGTCATTAAATTGTACTGATCAAGGAATAACATGTGAATAAATGACTATCAATCAATCAATCAATCAAAGGAGGCAGCGACGATGAGTTGGGCTGTAATTTTCAACCAGTTGTTTCTTTCCCCTCGGTTTTACGGAGAAAGAGAAAGTGGGAAAGGTGGATTCGACTGAGGAGCAGGGAACGACATTGTTCATCCAAAATGCATTTTATTCATTATTATTGTCACCTCGGAATTTACGTGCGGCTAGTGAAAGTTGGATGGAGACAATGCGAAGACGTTTTCGGTGCATTTGCCATTTTCTCTCTTCGAGATGAATTGCAATCAGAGGTTTCCAACTTCGACTTGAGCATATTTTAGTATTCACTTTTGTGATATTTGTGAAGCAATTGAGAGTTGCAATTTGGTGAAAATGCTCGTAATGTGCTAACATCAGAAATTCCTAAAGATGCAAATTTTTGCATTGGTAAATATATTGTACTCAAATTTCTAATCTGTCAAATCATACACTGCGAGTCAGTGCGAGTACATCATCTTATTTGATTACATACACAAATATTCATAAGTCAAAAATCCATCAATGGCGCAAAGATGCAACGATAAATACCTAAAATCACTTTGAATCTAAAAAATACGTGTAGAATATAATTCCTGAAAAAAGTAAAATTCTTATAGAAATAAAATTCTTTTCTTTCTAACATTTCTAACAAAACATTTCTTACAGATATAAAAATTGAAATTCTTAAAAAAACATGCATAAAATTCAATTTCTTCAAAATATTACTGCTTTGGCACCCTGTGTTAACTTAGTCTTGATGGATCCCGATTGATTTGATGAATCCGACAGACACGAGAAAGACAGAATTGTGCTGAGAAAGTGGTGCTGAAAGTGGTTGTTGTTCGTTCTCTTGAAGCGCAACTTTCCCTTTATTCCCGTGCCACACAAGCTGTTTCTCGATGCGTGTGTGGCGGCGTTGATGGGATGCGATGTGTCAAACGGGTCGGAGTGAATGAGACGTGGCAGAAATAATAATAATTTCCACACGTAACAGAGTTGTAAGAAATTCTGAATTCTTCTTTTTTTCTGGGAGAAAGTAAATCATGGAATATTGTCGATTTCGTTATTGATTGACTTGAAGAAGTGATGAATATGAAAGTTTGGCGAAAGCGGGTTGTAGTTTATGCACTAATGATGCGACGGAGTGTTGGCGATGGACCAGTTTCGCGTGGTTTTGTTGGACGAGTCAAGTGTGTTTGCGCAATTAATATGAAGGGTGTTGACATAGAAGATGAGGGGCTCAACGGAAGTGATGTGCTGGAATTGGGTGGAAATTTTTAACATGAAGGTGAGTCTTACAGTCAAAATAGGTAAGTTGGTAATAAAATCGTCATCGGCTATTGCCAATTTCAGGCTGTCCCACATTGGTAACCATTTGCGACCGAAAGATAACAATAATTTCATAGAGATTAAAAACTAGTAGTGCGTTGTAATAAGATATGAGAAATTTGAGTTGGTCGGAATTTGTATTACCATTCGATGACAAATATTGGCCAGCATAATGGAGCCTTACTTTCTACACGCGTGGTAGTAGTTTTGGCTGAAATATTTTTTTCTATTTTTTCCATTTTTATAATCACGGGAATTAAAATTAGTTTATTATATTTATGTTGAATTGTCATTTATAAACATTAAAATTTAAAAAGTGCATATTGATGAAGTAAAACGCCAAATATGTGAAAACATAAAATAGCTAATGATAAAACTGAGTTAGATACAGAGTCTTGCCGTCTCGATAGTTTTGCAAAAGTGTGTGCTTCAAGATATTTGAAATTTACCCTCAGAAAATAATTAACGCTGTACATATTGGCATGCAAATCTTCGTGGGAAGACCTTTTTTTGTAAAGGATTGCACTTTCACCTCGAAAAGTATTGATCTTGGTGACATTTTTGAATTTTCGAAGCCAAGAAATTAATACGGTTTTAGTCATCAGGGTAGACGTAAGACCGAAAGTGAGCTAATCTTTAGGAAAGATTTTCTCAGCAAGGTTTTGGTCGATTTTTTTGTGAAAACTGGATTTTTTAGCATATTTAATATAAAGTGTCAGTTTTCATAAAATTCTATTTTTTATAAAGTTAGCTCGTACTCATTATAATTTCGCCGTTTTGCATGGGTACAACTCAGAGGTCAACGCCGCCGATCTCACGCCGCCGCGCCGCCATACGCCGATAGAAATTGACGCGCCGCCGCCGCCTATAAATCTTATTCCTTCAACATCGAGACGCCGCGCCGCGCCGCCGCGCTGAAAACTCCCCAAAATTGGCGCCGCCGCCGCCGCCAAATTGGTCGGCTTTGACCTCAACTGTTATTGTATAAGAAGGTTTTGTTAAGTTAGGTTTGTTTTTAAAAAATACCTGTGAAAGAGATCAATCTGGTTAATTTACCAATATGTAAATTTCCGAAAAGTAAAAACTTCGACTTTCAAGTAATACGAATCTGATATTCCAGTTGGAATGTAGAATTTTTTTTGAAAACCTTCGGATTTTGTGCAAACTGAAGACTTCGTCGAGTTGGAGATGCGAAAGTTTGCAAATCATTTTTCAACTCAGTTTTAAGAACTTCTTGTTCGAGTTTTGTTTGATTTGTTAATGATGCGATCTCATTAATTATTTCACGGTCGTGCAGTTTACCGTTTTATCTAAAAGTTTTACATGATTCACTTTTTGCACATAAGGAGCTTTCGTGGCTATGCTTTCATTTTTACTCAAAAAATGTAAAAATTTTCTCACTTCAAAGCAAACTGAAAGTGAAAATATTGCGAAATAATACATGTCCTCATAATCGACCACTTTACGCCGAAATGGCACCTCCTTAGTCGCCGTGATGATGATGAAGGTAATTTAATCTGGTCATCCCCGTCACCACGACGCGGCCTCATCGTTTAGCCTGCGGTTGGCGAAAGTGGAGAAAAGAGGAGAAAGCCCCAAAATAAACTGACTTTAAATTATGTGCAGAGTTGAGACCCATATTTCTCGGGATGAAAAGTATAATGGGGAAAATCTTGTCGGAGAAGATCTGGATCGAACAATTCGACACAACTTTCTCCCCAAAACGATAAGTCGATAAGTGAACCAGGCTTTGGTTTCGTCGTTTCGGGAACTGTGCATGGAGGTTACCAAATTTTAAGTTTAATAAAAATGGAGATCAAACAAGATTTTGTGATTCTATAATTTTATGAAGTCGAAGAAATTATTTAATTTTCTGAATTTAACAAGTTCTTCAGTATTTACAAATTTTTTGAATTGCATCCAGTAATAAATAGTAATGCATTTTAAAATTAGGTTAACATGCAAAATTCAGATTATGTAATATTTATTTTAAAAATCCAGCAAAATTACTTTTCTTACAATTTATATTCTCAAATTGTGAATAAACCCCCAAAAACCCGTCATCAAACATGTCATTGAATCCATTTTTAAAATGATTCATAAAATATGTGAACAATTTCCAAAATATTTTGACTAACGTGACAACCCTTCCGTGGCCCACATATGTGACCCATGTCACCATTAATAAAATGACCCCTTTGACCCCTCAAAGCGATCTCAATATTACTTATAATGCACTATCCTCCGCTTATCCAGAAATCTCTATTTTTAATCCGCATTAAATTTCCCCATGAAAAGTATCCCGCTTCGTTATGTCATCGTTTCGTCCATCAAGACGCCCTCCAGCTTTTCCTCCCGATCTCTCATCCCGATTTGGTTTTTACGTCCATCTCTCTTTCCTCCTGGAGAAAGCCAGTCCGTCACTTTGGACGGAAATTGTTCTTCCCGCCGTAGAAAGTCAGCCTCTCGCTCGTTCGCTATCAGTAATTCAATCTCTGGTGGGCATATTATCTGGATCGCCGCGAGATCTCTAATCCCGAAAGAGGAGGAGATCATCTCTTTTCTGGCGAAAGTACGAGTTCACTTTTACCATTTTCATAGAGTGCCCGAAGGTCTTTGAAGTATTGAGCGAATAATAATACTTGCTTTCTCTTTTTTCTTGGGCTGCTCTACTTCGCCATGTTGAAATCTCTTGTTTTCGGGGTTAGGAGTGACTTATGTGGCTGGGTTGACGTTCCGTCCGTCAGTATTTCTGTCGGTTTGTTTGATAAAATATCAACTTTTAAAAATATGTATTTTAAGACAATGATTACTTCTTGAAAATATTTGTCCACTTTTGACCCTGTACATTTTTATGAGATGAGTTTTAACGGTTTGAAATGGTTTGAAATGGTTTGTCCCGTCCGTCCGTCTACAATTCGGTCGATCTGTTTGATAAAAAGACCAATTAAAAAAAATATGTATCCCAAATCGATAATTTTCACCATATTTCGAAATTTACTCCCCCTAAATTTCTTCCCACATATCTCGGGCTGCATCAAATTCCCCATATGATTTCATGACCCAAAATATGCACCATGTTAAACATGTCATATTCTTCTCCCTCTGCAAGGATTCATATTTTGATGAGAATTATTATTACGGTCGAAATTTTTATCAGACAACGAACCTCCCCAAAAAGAGAAAATCGTGGAGAGGAGAGTTTGAGCTTTGATCCGAACTCGAGTACGTCGAGGCTGCAAATCCTTTGGCGAAAGTGCGGCCTTTGACATTTCGTCCTCGCGTCGGACTGGATTGGATGCGACGGCTGTCCATCTGCTGTGAGCGAGGCGATGATGACGGCAGTTCGACAGCAGCTGGAGAAAGTAAATCCGCTTTACTTACTTTCTATCTCTCTACTTGCTTAGGAGGGGAGCTTGCGAGGTTGATAATAACAGATCTTGATGCCCTTTGGATATGTGGTAGGGTCCCATGAGTGTACTAAAACCCTGAAGTGGTTTGACTCCATGGCCACATTTGCGCCCGCCACACCCACTCAAAAATGCTCAAAAAACTCCAGTTTTCACTCACTCAAATCCACGCCAAAAATCCAATTTTACTCGGATTTTGAAATTTCTTTCACCATTATACTCCCAGATAGTTGCTTTCTTCAATCCAATGTCAAACTCAATTTTGCTGATGATTATTTCGCAGACATAATTTGCGTTGTTGATTACTACAACAATGCTCATTCAGAATTTTAAATTTTAAAAATACTAAAAATTTCGAAAAAATTGAGTTTGATACTGGATGGAAGAAAGCAACTATCTGGGAGTATAATGGCGAAAGAAATTTCAAAATCCGAGTAAAATTGGATTTTTGGCGTGGATTTGAGTGAGTGAAAACTGGAGTGAAAGCGTTTTTTGAGCATTTTTGAGTGGGTGTGGCGGGCGCAAATGTGGCTATGGAGTCAAACTACTTCAGGGTTTTAGTACACTCATGGGTCCCTACCACATATCCAAAGGGCACCAAGATCTGTTATTATCAACCTCGCAAGCTCCCCTCCTGAGGGAATTGAGCTGTCTCACTCAACTACCCCATGGCTTTGAGTACTTACTTGACAAAAATTGAGCCCACTGTGCTTGTAATTTCAAGGACCAACTTTGTTAAAGACTTTAACTTAAAGTCAAAAAATATCAACACTTTCCTCGGAATCCAATGGCCCATGTTATGCATTAATACAATTGCAGAACAAGCTTTGCATATTCTTTTTTTTTAAAGAAGGATACGTTGCAAGAACCTAAGCTGCACAGCATGTTTAAGGATAAATATGTAGTCTGATACGTAAGTGTCAGGGTTTTTTGTCATGCAGAAAGAAATGCATAAAAAGCTTCTAATAAGTTTAAGGTTGACTAAATAAAAATTGAAACATTTATAAGGTTTTTATAAATTTCAGATTTTAATCTGATTCTAACGCGTATATGGAAAATGGAAAAATGGAGTAATAATCTTTATTATGAACAACGAAGTACTTTATCCTAGTGAAAGGAAATATTTGAAGAAAGTATTAGTGATGGTCGGATGTTATCAAATTATGGTACATTGAATATTGCCATTTCCATTTCTTGAATTCATTAATTTTTGAAACCATGCTTATAATTGTTATGCTGCATCATTTATATTTAAAGTTTAATTGCGATGTCCTTACTTTCTGCTATCACCAAAATTATCAATTATATCTAGTGCTTAGCGGGGCACCTGCCGGCGCCCCCTCAAATTCTGGCGCCCCGGGCAATTGCCCTGCTTGCCCACCCCCAGTTTAGGGCCTGCTCATTCGACACATACATAGGTACATATATACATACACGCATCTATTATTTATTTCTAACTATTTGGGGAGTATTGTTTTAGTGTCTTGGGCACGTGTTATGCGCTTATACTCTGACTGGGACAAAAAATTATGATTTGCAATTTGCTTATACATAATACCTCGGTTCAGGAATCTACCAATTTGAAGTCCATTTAAAATTATTTTTTCAGAAATCCAAATTTTATTTTTAGATGTAGATAGCTTAGAACACAGCACATAGTTTATAGTAACAAAAACGTGACGAGCAAATCCAAAGCAGTGCTACAAGCTACGAGTGAAGTTGATCTATCGAAAAAGGTACCATTTCCCATATGAACTTTCAAGGGGAAACATGACACAATATATTTCACTTCCCATCTCGACGCCTTCTTTAATCCACGTCTTGCCGCATTGATAAAGTCAACGGATCTGGTGTATGGGTAGGAGACAATTTTGAAGAGATGTTGAATCATTACGAATGTATCGACTGCTCCGACGGAATAGATTGCCAAAACAGGCAAGGGGATCTTCTCGCTGGACGATAGGACGACATAGAGTGACGTACTATTCAACACGAGTATGCCACCAACAACGAACGGCATAGCTGGGTCTCTCCAGGCATTGTTAAGTAGGCGTGACAACAATTGGAGTTTCCTATATTGAACAAGTAAAATCATACGGAAGCTTTTTTCTTGGTCCAGATATCTGAAAAATGGATCAATTAGTACTTAATTTTATGCAAACATAAAAGGGAAATACTGCGAATTCAACATCGGTATGACTATCAGGGAACGGATACCTTTTTAAGCCATCTAAGAGCAGAAGCTGCGCAGCAACTGGATAATATAGAAGTACAAATAGGCCAAATGTTAACGTGCTAAAAATAACTAGACCGGTGTAAGCAGCGAACACTGCTTGTAACGTCTTTGCCAAGAAATTTCCGCGTATGTCGTCCCAATCCTTGCAGGGTAATGTTGTCATGGTAAAGAAAGAAGGTGGCATGCAAGGTTTGAGAAAACTAGTGGCGCAAAGAGTAACTGGTGCAGCTGTTATTGTTATGATAGCGAGGACCCCAATTCCAATAAAATAGTTCGGAACGTAGCCATCGACACCTAGTTTTAAAGAATACAATGTTTACAATCAAAATTATTAGAGTAATTTATTAGAGCAATTTATTATTTATTAGAGCAATTTGCGTGGAGCAATTTATTAAGCATTATTTTTTTAAATAAGAAAATTTTGTGATTTTGAATATGTATGTATGTATACCTACTCTTAGCAAATAACTCTTTGTGTGAATGCAGAGTACCGCGTACTCTGTATTCACACGTCAACGTCCGGGCGAATTCTGAGCACTATTGATGTAAACCGCATGTCGAAATTCGCATCCGTTTTCAAGAAATCATGATACGGGCGGACGGGGTTTGACCCTTTAATAAAAGGTAAGCAGCGAAAGATATTTTAAAATTGTATAGAGAAAATATTTTGTTATTAATATTTTCTAAAATATGCCGAGGTTTCAATTTGTTGTTTTCATGTACTCTTTGGATGCCACATGGTGCCGAAAATTTGCTTCACCCCGCGTACTCTGCATTCACACAAAGAGTTGGTGGCTAAGGGTACTTTCCATGGCTAAGAGTATGGGTTGAGTATTTTATATCTTATAGCACAAATAATGGAAACGGTATTTTACTTAGCTTAACCCGGAAAGCCTAAAATTATTCCAATGCCAATAAGAACATACGTAACGGCCCACTTGGTCATCAATCAATTCACCTTTTACACATTTGGCGCCTTTTATTTATATATTGTCGGACAACTAGATACTTACACATATAATAGTCGAGAACCTCCGTCAGTACTTGTGAATTCAAATATTTACTAACCTTTTCTCTGAGGGTCCCTTTCCAAATAGCTCGAGCAATTCAAAACGAACACGGTTTACCTCGGTACACGAATCAAGTGCAGCAGCCCAAAACAAGCTCCTATAAACAAGTCGAGAAATAACGTCATGAGGATTTGTTTCCAACTGTCTGTGAAAACACCTGCACTAGAATTTGACTTCTGAATATGAAACCATTTCAATATGAGGATCAGTTGAATAAATAGGGATACGATTGCACAGATGATCTTAGCGACAGCCAATCTTGATTTGTCAAAACGGAGAAATTTTTTATCATCGATGATTAGCGGGATTGCGGGGACCCATAGGGAGCTTCCGACAACTATATGGTTAACCGCAGTATATGACGAAACTTTTTCCCTGGTGGAAACCTTGTAACTCCTGGAGTAGAATTGGACTGTCTTGTAGAGAGAAGCTAGATTCGAAACAATTCCTAGCATTTGTAAGTATTTAAAGAATTTTGCTACCATGGTCCAAAAATATTAACACCGCAGTGCATTTTTTCCGGTAGATTTGTAACGCTTTGCAATTCAAAAATAGTTCAGACATGCAAAACTCAAACAAATTTTATGCGTTCTGCTTGTCGACTGAACGCCGTGTCCCACATAACCCGATCGATGAACGAAACTAATCAAAAACTATTTATTATTATTTAATTATTTTTGAATTACTGAAGAAAAGTTATGTGCCTATATGTATAATATGTGTGTCTAAATATGTTGATATGGGATTAACCCAAGTTTATTTATTTAGAGAGTATTTATTGATTTTGTTGATATGTACCTACTTTTATATTAAATCATCATTTAGAAAAGTTTCTAAAAAGTTTAGAAATCTTAAACGAAAAAATAAAATCAATTAGGTATGTAAGGTTTACATAGTTCCACTTTATTGGCGACTTATATAGTTGCACCCACGATATGTTATCACATATTAAACGTAGGAAAAGCTGATTACAAGGGAGTCGAGCATTTACAAATCCCTAAGCTTTCAAAATTTGTAAAAATAATCTAAAAAAGGATAAATTACATAAGACATATTTTACATAATTACATAAATATTAAACCAAATGTGAAATAACAAACCCAAATTGGTTTGCTATTTCACATAACTGGAAATAAATAATTTAACAGGCCCCCTAAATTTGCTGGAAATAAAGAAACTTTGAAATCTACATATTCTGTTAAGTTTGTCGAGATGGAATAAACGCATAATTTATTGGATTCGTTGGACTAATTTATTAGTTTTTCGGTCTCTAAAACATCAGGGGGTGGTCCCAAACCCCATAAAGTATATATATTCTTAATTGCCCCTCCAAGACCTTTCCAACGATAACCCACTTATGGGGTTATGTGAGACTTTACCTGTTGACCTTTTGAAAAATTTGTTGACCTTGGAAAAAAATTAAAAATTCTTAACGAACCTGATAACCCAAGTTACTTGGATCAGTTTTCACCAAATATGAGGAGAATCTATCCAGATTTGTTGAAATGCGCACTATTTAAAGAATGGGGATGGAGGAGCCAACTTTGTAACTTGACCTCATATCAGTTTCAGGTCATGGAGTACGGGTAGGACCTAGCGCTTCCGTTTGACCCTAAAGTATAGTCTTGGGATTGTCCATGCGAAGTTTGACAGCTGTGGGCCTTGTGGTTGCTTCACAATAGAGGGAGAAAGTTGACAAAAATTGTCAAAAACAGTACTAGATACTTTCGCCTATGTCATTACATGGAGAGGGTCATGAAAATTTTAAAAACCGACTAAATCGAGTAGTTCAGACCCCCTGAACATGTTTTTGAGCTAAAACATCCTGCGCATTTATGTAGATTGTGCAAACACTTAATTAATTACATAAATTGTTTATCCCAATTTACACAGTAAACAGGAGACTCAACTTTGTTCGTCAAGGTTTGTATGGAAACAAGCTTCAAATATATCGCGGATGTAACAAATCGTCCTGTGTGCTTTACTTGTGAAATTAAAGTAAATTCCTGATAAGAACTCTGAAATCCCAATATTCCAGAACAAAATAAACCACCACTGATAAGCTACTCAACCAATGAACAAGTGGGTCACCTCAGCAATAAATTGTAGCCTCGACACCTGGAAAAATCTCACTTATGAATTAGACTGCTTATAAAACTACTCTGGTGTCTACGCAACTACAAAATCACTTCTTAATCGTTTGAGGGACTCCTATTCTATCAAGAATGGAATTCTTCTCAAATGTCATTCAAGGAGCGTAAGTAGCCTTTCAGTCGATTAATTAATTCATAAAGCTTAGTACTCACGATGGACTTTACGCGCGGAAAACGACTTTTGCAGAAATTATGCTCAATTTAAGCCCGAGTGGTACTCAGGTCTTCGCGTGAAACTTGTGCGGAATTTTCCGCGCGAGCAGTTTACGCTCAATGTAAGCTCAAAGTTTCCGTTAAATCGAGGCAATTCTTTCACGTGAAATGTGAGCGGAAAGTGACTCGCGGCCCTCTGAGTTCAAAATAAGAGGGCGGAGCAACCTCAAAATCTCAGTTTCAACTCAATGGCAAGGCGGTTAATTTAAAATGGGGCAAAATGAAACCTGGTTTTCAGCTCAAATGACCTACGAGTACCTACGAGTGATAATTGAGTGAAATATACGTGGAATAGTGGTATTTTCTGCCCGCTTACGAATTTCTCTCCAGCGAAAAATTTAACAGAATTTAAGCACGATGAAATTCCGCGTGAACATTCGTCCTGAGTACTAGGCTTAAGTTGTAAGAGACTGTGCGGAAAGCATGTGATTGATTTGAGGGGAGGTAAAGCATCATGTTAATAATAACATGGGGTAAATTATACATAAGTCATCCCGGGGGGGGGAGGTAAGGGTCAAAGTTTTCGATCACATTCTTTATGTGCGGCCCCTTTTTAATTTAGATACATTTGGATGTCAGGATGTTTTTGTGCTTTGCACAAATGTATGTATTCCAGCCCAGGATGAATGTTACACAAATATTTCCATTAAGCCAAAAAAGTTGACAAATTCACCTTTTTGTTTTTTTGGCACTCACAATGCGATGATGCCAGCGGTCTCGCTTCGATTTTGACGAAACGACGAAAAATATGTAGCCCAATGTCAATAATTAAACACGTGTTTCAGGATTTTTCATAATGCTCAGCTTAAACAAAATTATGATGAAATTCATAAGCTAGAATGTGCATTTTACAGCGAGAGTTTTCTCGCGAAAGAAAAATACATATCCTCGCATACATTGAATTCGGGCGCATGAAGTTATTTTCTTCAAGTTTGACCATACCAATTTTAAATTGTTCACATAAGGAAGCAAGTGGACCCATATTTTTTGCGTTTTCCTGAGTTGTTAGCATTTTCAGCTGTAGCGGAATTTTTCAATAAATTTTCAGCCAAAATCAGAATTTTTCAAAATGATGTAAATTTTCCAATTTCGATACGATTTATAAATTGAACGATCATATTTGCACGGAATTACGTAGGTGTTTTATTATTGATTTTCAAAAGGTATGTTCCGCACTGTTTCTGACCAAAATTTTGATGAAATAACAAACTTTAGATACATCTAGGATGCTGTGATTTTTTTCAGCCCTTTAGGTTAACATTAACACTAGCAATAAATCAGCAAACTTTACCTCGACGGAAAAAATGTCACATTTGCAAATTAAACATCGTAGTGTGATTTAAATTTTATTGCTGGAGGGGCAATATGTGTCGCAGATTTATGATCGAATGCTTAAAGTTTACGATGGAAACTGCTCAACACAAAGCACAAATACAATTGGGTCGATAAGTTCAAATAAAGGCGAGAAGATGTCCCAAACAAAAAAGTCGCCAGGATACCCAAAATCGGTTTCCACCGCAGAAAACCTCCAGAAACTTAAAGACCCAATTATTAGAGATCCACGATTGAAACTGTATTATTTAGCAGATGAGATGGGTGATCCAAAACCAGCAATTTGTTCCATGTTAACTGAAGACTTAGGTATGAAAAAGGTTTCCGTCCGTTGGGTACCAAAATTGCTTTCGGCATCTCACAAACAGGATCGAGTCGACTTTTGCAATGCAAATTTTAACCTATTAAATGAAAACTGGAACCTGCTCAATATTTTATTGGCTGCATACGGTACTTGGGTTTACTATTATGACCCGGTGACCAAATAATAATTCCCTCATTGGAAGCACGAGGGGTTGCCACCGCCCGTGAATTGAAAAGTGCAAAAATCTGACAAAAAAACTGATGATGACCATTTTCAAGGATACCAAAGGTCCCCTCCTCATAAAATTTATTGCTGGAAATACTGCAATAAATGGGGCCGTGTATGCAGGAACCCCGAAGGAGCTGCGTCCTCCGGTTGAAAAGAAACGTGGGGTCAAAATAAAGAGTTGGCCTTTTTTTAGACGACAACGCGCCACCAAATACCTCACTGTTTTAGAGAGCTGATGCAGACGAAAATCGCTTTACCTGCACAGACCACCCCCCGTGCAGTCCAGACAGGACCCTTAGTGATTATTATCCGTTTCAAACGTTGAAGAAAAACATCAGGGGGAAACGATTTTAGGATGATAATGGAATCAAGTCGTAAATTTTTGCATATTTTCGAGGCAAATTTGGATGATTTGTTGCGGGTGTTTCTTTTAACCGATTGAGCTGAAAAAAATCACGACTTCCAAAATGTTTTTGAAGTTTGTTATTTCATCAAAATTTTGGTCAGAAACAGTGCGGAACATACCTTTTGAAAATCAATAATAAAACACCCACGTACATTAATTTTAGAAAAATTAAGTAACTTATGAAAAAAAAACACTTTTCAAAAAGTTATTATTTTTCAAAATTCAAAATTCCGAAATCACATGAAAATTTCAAATTTTAAAAGTTTTTAGGAACGTATTTTTTATAACTTCATTGAAGCAATTTTTAGCAAAAGCGTTCTTCATTTTTTAAATCGGGTCGAAATTAGAAAACTTACATCATTTTGAAAAATTCTGATTTTGGTTTAAAATATATTCGAAAATTTCGCTACAGTTGAAAAGGCTAAAACCTCGGAAAACGCAAAAAATATGGGTCCACTTGCTTCCTTGTGTGAACAATTTAAAATTGGTATGGTCCAACTTGGAGAATATAACTTCATGCACCCGCATTCAATTATGTATTTTTCTATCTCGCGAGAAAACTCTCGCTGTAAAATGCCCATTCTCGCTTATGAATTTCATCATAATTTCGTTTAAGCTGAGCATTATGAAAAATCCTGAAACACGTCTTTAATTATTTACATAAGGCTACATATTTTTCGTCGTTTCGTCAAAATCGGAACGAGACCGCTGGCGTCATCGTATTGTCAGTTTTTGCACCTTCACAAATTTGCAAATCTCTGCCTAAGAATTTGTAGATAAAGTCCTTTGCAAATTCCATATTAATTAAATTTCTACAAACTTTTCTCTGATTTTAGTGCCAAGCTGGTTGGCGACCTCCTCTCCAATAAACCCGATTTTACCGAAGATATCCTGGTTATCATTCCTCCAAAAGGGAAAAAATCTGTGGGTGTCGATCAACTCCTAAGCTTGACGAAACGATCTCCCCCGCAATGCCTGGATCTTCACCGGTTAGGAATTTACGCCCGTCTCCACGGTCTTCCAACAGAATTAAAGAGTCCTCTCCTGAAAAAGTTTCGTGATAAGGACTCATCCAAACATGAAAAACTTGTTTTGGCTCAAATTCTCAAATACTGCGCAAAGAAGGAATCCACCAAACCATTTCTATCCACAACAGAAGTCTCCAACTTGTTGCAATCCCTCGAAACGACCAACTCCACCCCGACAATAAATGATGACCCGTACGACCCTGATCTTTTCTTTAATTTGGGAACAAGGTCAGAACTTTGCCTTTCTTTTTGCATCATTCTGCATCAATCCATAGTAAAAGGGGCCCGTGTTTTGGAAGGCGATTGGAAAATTTTGTTATATTACGAGTCTAGGATAAGTAATATAAATACATATGAAGGGAACGTTCATATATTACGTCGTCAAAAAATATCGATTTTAGCCCACCATTTCCATCTCCTACTCGTGTTTAACTTACAATGGAACCTTTTTTCAAGCTACACCTGGATTGACTAGCGAGTTATGTCAAAAAATCAAGGCAAAAATTAGGGGTCACGTGACACTTCTCTTTCCGTTGAATGGCCCTTTTGAAGAAAAATATTGGAGGTCGAAGTTCACACGAGCGCCTTGGTTTTCGCCCAGTGGAGGAAAATGCAAGAGAAAATTTGCTCAAAAATTGAACTCAACTGAAAGTATTTTTCTTCAAAGGGGCCATTCAACGGAAAGAGAAGTGTCACCCCAACGGGCAAGTCGAGATATCCTCGCTGATCGAAATCCCCACGATTATCTCGAAATATAAGCGAGGTCTACATCGCTCAGAAATCCACAAGATTTCCTTATCGAATTCCATGGGATATTTGAGCTACTAACAGACATAACAAAACGTCGTGACACTCTGTGCGAAATCGATACGATTTCGAGAAAAATTCGAGAATTGCAAATCAGCATGTAACATATTATGGACGATTAGTGTCAGAATTACTCTCGATATCCCTGCGAATCTACAAGTATTGTTAAGATGGTAACTCGAAGTCGTAGCGAATTTTTAGCGAATACAAAAAGGACTAATTAAATATATCCAGATCCAGCTGATATATTATTACTACCATTGTGACAATGGGACGAGTAAGTAAAACTCCAACGTTCCGTCTTTGTAAAAGGTCACAGTTTAGGAAAATCAGCGCTAATGTAGCCAAATTTATGTATAACAATGTAACAGATAATATTTCACATTTTCAAACTGATATAGTTAATTTTAGCAGTTCACAAATAAATCCCCAGTCCGAAAATCAGAACACAATTGAAATCAATTTTAACGAAGACAATTTAGAAAATAGTGTAATTGAGTCGGTGAATGAGTTTACAAATTTAAGTACAGACCAATTTGCTTCAGTGCCATATAATTTAGAGCAAGATTTAAGAGAATGGGGTGTGAATAATAAAATAACAAGATCGGCATTTAATGGATTACTGACAATTTTAAATAAACAACCAAGCCTACCAAAATTACCTGTCGATGGCAGAACTTTACTAGCAACCCCGACAACATCACTGGTTGAAGAGTGCGGTGGGGGACAATATATTCACTTTGGTTATAAAAGTATAATTGAGCAGTCAATTAAATTACTTCGACCAAACCCTAAAGTAATCAAAATTCAAATAAATATTGATGGACTCCCACTATTTAAAAGTTCATCTAAACAGTTTTGGCCAATTTTAGGACGTGTAATTGAAACGAAAAAAGTGTTTATTATTGGACTTTACTTTGGGAATGAAAAGCCAAGTGACGTAGATAACTACCTGCAAAAATTTGTTCAAGAAACAAAAGCTTTAATCGAAAACGGTGTAGTTATTAATAATGTAAAATATGAGTTTAAACTGTCAAGCATAGTATGTGACGCCCCTGCTCGTGCATTTGTCACTGGAATCAAGGGTCACACTGGATACTACGGTTGTGGAAAATGCATCGTTAAAGGAAAATATAAAGAGAATCGTGTAGTATATTTAAAAACGAACAGTGAATTGAGGACAAATCATTCATTTCGTGCTAATCAACAACCCCCTCATCATAATTATAGAACAGTGATTGAAAATTTACCCCTCGATCTAGTTGGAGACATCCCATACGAGTTCATGCATCTTGTATGCTTAGGAGTGACAAAAAAAATTCTAAAAATTTTTGTACATGGAAAACGAAAAAGCTACAGACTAAATAAAAAATCAATTGACAAAATATCACTTCGTCTTGAAAAGTGTCGACCTTGTGTGACAAGTGATTTTGTGAGAAAAAGTCGCCCTCTCTCTGAAGTTGACAGATGGAAAGCTACGGAATTCCGCCTGTTTCTTCTCTACACGGGACCGATCGTCTTAAAAGGAATAATTAGTGAAGAATATTATAGACATTTTTTGGTGCTATCAATTGCTGTTAGGTTGTTATCAATCACTAATCAAACCGAACCGAATTTAAAATACGCTGAAGATTTATTACTTTATTTCGTGGAACAATTTAAAAAATTATATGGAAAAGAAAATCTATCATACAATGTACACGGCCTAATACATTTGACCAATGATGTACGAAAACATGGGGACTTAAATTCCTTCAGTGCATTTCCATTTGAAAACTTTTTGGGAAAAATTAAAAATTTAATTAAAGGGTCTCATCTTCCCCTCCAACAAGTATACCGCCGCATCATTGAGCAACAGAAAAACGAGGTGAGCATGCTTCCGCATACTGCAACTAAAAATTCAGTGACTTTTAGTAATGCTAAAAAAAATAATTCTTGCGCATTTAAAAAAATAGTATTTAGGGACTCTATAATTAGTAATAAATCCCCTGATAATATCATTTTGCTTAAAACCGGTGAAGTAGTAGAAGTTAGTCACTTCGTTAAAAATGCAACTGATGGGAACGTAATTGGACGTGTTTTTACTTCAAAAAACAATTTCTTTGAGTATCCGTGTAATTCATCGATTGTTAACATTTTTGAAGTTGATAGTGCTACTAGTCCCATAAATACTTTTAACATAAGTGATGTTCAATTTAAGTGTGTGGCTTTAAAACGAAAAAATAAAATTATCGTTATTCCTCAACTCCATAATTTCAACGAATAAAAAATGGAGCAAAAATACGCCGTCGTCGTATTTAAAGAGTGTAAAGATAATCAAGACATAGAGACTGTGGAGGCCATTCCAGTTTCATGGATATCTAATGGTTCCATTTTATGGCCGAACAATTATGGACATAAAGTTTTAAAAAAAGCAATCAAACGTTGTGAATCGCCCAAGGAAGACTGGACACAATATCAAGGAAGAGTTCTTGGACAATATGGTGAGTGAAAAAATTAAGTAATTTCCATGAAGTCAATAACTAGTATATTGTACTCACAATTTAGCAGTTGCACGATAACTTTAATTTGGTGAGATCTTGAACAATAATTTGTTGTTCCTTAAACAATAAGATCGAGTTTAAAAACCTACAAATGATTTATTATGTATTCTTTACATTTATTTACATATATATATATATATTTTTTTAATATTAAGGGACTTTGCAAGAAGCTAGACAGGAGTCCAAAGTTGCAGAGGGAACATCTGATTTATCCAGCGCCAAACGCCGTGTCGTGAAGAAGAATGTTGGACCCGTTACTCAGCTACCAAACCCTCCGCGACATCAAATTGAAGAAATGGCTTCAACTTCTCAAACTATTTACACAATTCAAGAGTTGCTGGCTGCTGGTGTCGATACGGGAAGGAATCAAGAGGGGGACCACTTTGCAGGAAATGAGGGCGACGACTTTGGAGGAATGGAGCGTGGCGAAATAATCCTGAATAATGCAATGAGCCAGGCTCCCCCGCAAAGGGTAGAAGAAATGAATAGAACCGTTGGCGATCAAGGTACACAAGATAATAAAGGGATTATTTTTATATTTATTTGTGAATGCAGATCATTTATTCACAAATGCAATATTTTAACATTAATTAATTTAAAAACAAAACAATAATTTTTAGGATTACTCCCTGAAATTCTAAAGAAAATAGAAAGAATAACTATTGTACTCGATCGCCAACAAGATCAACTGGATGAAATTGTGCAGATTTTAAAGAATAATCAGTATAATCAACCGCTCGCTTCCAGTCAGCAAACTTTCTCCTTTCCTTTCGGATTATTTCCACTTCGGGATTCTGCAGCTCTTTCGTCACTGGATGAGCAATTAAAAAATGATGAGGCTGCCAAAAATGCATTGGTATGTAATTAGACCATGAATATGTTTTTGTTTAAAGATGTTTTAATTGCTGTATATTTTATAGATTCGTAAGCTGAAAGATTGCGGGGGTGCAACTTTGTTAGAAGCCGTTAAAGGGATGATGTCCTTTTTAATGACGGATGAACTTTGTTCACTCTATAGTCACAAAGGGAAGCGGGGAAAATTGTCGCTGGCCGATCATGCTCTTCTTGTGAATTCGATTTTTGGTAAGTGAAAATAAAAATATCGTATTATGGTTTGAGTTCATTAATCAGACCCTTTCGTATGAATTTTTTATCGAGCGGGGTCATTTAAAGCTAATTATGAGCGCGTCTAATTATGTGAATTGCTTAATTAATTATTAGATGCACTGATGAGAAATCCACGGACATCTGGAGAAGCAACCTTGATTAAGTATTATGAAGTGCTTCCGACTGTTTTGAAGCAAGCCCATGATCGAGTTAGACAAAGGAGGTAAGTACAGAAACATTAAATTAATATATATATTTCTATGAATATATATCAAATTGAATCGTTGTATAATGTATGGACTATTTTATTATTATTTAGAAATGTAGCTGCTCAACCTGGCAATCCTGAGTGAAGATAAAATTATAAATTATATCATTAACTTATTAATTTTTTGATACAAATTGTATTGGTAGTTATTTGTTGTAAAATAAATTAAGACACAAACAATGCAATGTATTTTGTATGCTACTTTTTTAATCCCAATGAAATCGCATAAAATTCGAGAGGAATTCGATATTCAGGCAAATACGAAATCTCGTCGATTAATGCTGGAAATCGTGTCGCCAATATCTCCGAATAATCGAGAGGATTTCCTTAGGTCTCGCTGGACATTTAACTGTAAATTCGAGATCTTTTCGAGCTACCCTCGCTTAGAATCGAGAGGCTTTTTTATCTCGAAATCGTAGGGAATTCCTATGCCTTTGCCCGTTGGGACGTGACCCCTAATTTTTGCCTTGATTTTTTGACATAATTCGCTAGTCAATTCCGGTGTAGCTTGAAAAAAGGTTCAATTGTTAGTACAAATAACATTGGTGACCGAGAACCACTAACGCCACTTTTTGATGACGTAATATATGGACCTTTCCACATGGGAAATATGCTCTTAGAAAGCTGGTAGTAAATTTTTACTGGCCACACGTATCTATGTATACATAGTACTACCGGGACTATGATAACGAGCATTACGGTCCAGTAATGTCGGCGTAATGAAAAATTTACGAAATATGTAAACTGTGACCAATCCGGTTGGAACTTATTACCAGTACGGAGTGAATATATTTATGACTCTACCAGCTTTTTAAGAGTATATTTTGCTGGCAAAAATAACAAAACAATTAATAAATAGTCTTGTCCAGTGTTTTTGCGAGGAAAGTATTTTCTACGAAAAGAGAGTAGAAGAGATCGAGCCGAGCTCATTTTTTGGTTAGTTTTATGCCGTGTCGGTACTAAAGAAGGAGAAGTTGTGCTACTGGAACTGACAAAAAAAAGCAGGGATATCAGATCATAAGAAGCAGAAAAAGTTGGCAGTTTTGATAAATTGTTTGGTAAAAGGGAAACTACACATCATGACGATGGCGTCGTCTCAAGGTAATGAGAAGTTTTGTGTAAATGTGCATTTTATTTTTGCTTAAATTCGCTATTAGATAGTTTGGTAGTGAAATTTAGTTAGTTAGTTAGCGTTTCATGTATTATGCTACGTATTATTTCGCAGGTACTTTATTTTTCAAAAAGCAGGAAGTCTGACAGATCGCATGTACATGTACCTCTCGGTATCTGCATTATTTTATTGAGGAATCCAACTGGTTATTTTAGAGTTAAATGACATCGGACAGGTCATCGGATTGGGAGATATTTACATAGTTGCCTAAACCGGGCTTGGAAAATGTATTTTCTTCCATCATTTGTAAATATCAAAGTTTTGTTAAATTTCAACCATTTTAAAATGTGCACTTCCGCAGATTCAAATTATTACCTTTATCATTACCCAAATTGTGGATAGGACCATAATAAATTTCTGTCTATTTAATTGCGAATTACATGATTCACTGCACATTAAACTGGCTACAATAACGATTTTAGAAATATTATAAAAAATCAGACCATTAGATTCTGCATATTTAGGTCCACGGCAGGTTCACAGGGTAAATTTTACACACCATACATACATAAATATATACACAAGCCAAAATTTCTCGGTGAACTGAAACATGACCAAGACATGGCCAGTGGCGGCGGAAGTTGGGGGGCATATGGGGACTTTTATAATTGGGAGATATGAGAAGGAGAGGCTTATTAATAAGGTAAATAGATAAATTCGAATGGTATATTCGTACCCTAAAATATGTACAAAGGTTCAACGAACTTACGTGCATGGGATTTCCAACGGTTGTAAAAATATATATGTATAATCCCCACGTGCGTAATGGGCCAATTTATTTTGCCAAGGTAAAGAAATACTTTTCAGTGGAAGAGATGTGACTTTGCATTTGCATATAAAGTGATGATCCTTATCGTAATCTGGGCTAATCTGACAAAATCCCTGGATTATGCCGGCCCCCGTGCTATTTACACCTTAATAATCCGTCCGTTTATTTCGAAGTATTTTTCCAGCCTTGCATGCAAACACCGATCAGCGGTTAAGGTATGCCCATGAGGGAGGGTATCTGGGGAAGGATGAAAGCTACATTGAAGTTTAAAGAATCTTGTTTCAATCTGCCCCAACACCTTACAAAAACCCGGAAGAACCCCATTGGGCATTCTAGTTTTCCCGGAAATCCGACCCCAAAAACTACAGCCCATAAAAACCCGGGGTAGCGTACCCTTATCAACTGGGAGTAAAAATTTTCAGAGAAAATGAATTCCCTGACACGTGACATGTGACATGCGACTCTACATTTTCTGCATACATACATACGTACACACATAAATGACTAATCATACATAACTCGCACATATAAAAATGATGATAATAATGCTTGGATAAGCATGATATCGTGCTTTGGCCTGTTGTAACCAAAGTCCAAACCTGATATTGATACGTCAGTGATAGTGATAGTGATATTGATACATATGTAATTCGCCACTTTCATTTATCCAGCCATCAATTGCGTTCAATTATTTATATTTATGACCCCACTAAATATTTACATACGTATCAACAAAAATTATGCAGGCTTAACTGGAATTTGCTGAATCATTCGGTGAAAAACTTTTAGCAAAAGATAACCTCCTTATCTATATGTAGAACGCTTCTCCAAGTCGAACTCAACCGTGCGTCACAATTTTACATAAAAAGGACACAGGTCTGACCAGGTTTAATCATTCAGGAGTAAAATAACATTCATCAATTGCAAAATATCTTCATCATCAAAAGTAGTTACAACAATGAAGGGATTATCCTTGCTAATTTTTCTGGCTGGCTTCGTTTCTCGAGGGGAAGGCAAGTAACTCATTCTTTCCTTCCATAGCTCGGCGGATATCGGGTTAAAACCTCCAAATATCCGGGTCAGAATCTATATTCATTAAAAATTCCCGTCCTCCAACCTCCAAAATCCACGATATCCGCCGAGCTCTGTTTCCATCCGCGCTTAATTTACCCTGCACACAGCGAGAATGTTGGTTTATTATGTGTTTAAAAAACGCCGATTTTTTACCCTACATTTCCTTATCCTCGCGTGTTAAACTTAACGCGATTAAGTAAGATACTACTACAAAAAAACCACCCACCCACTTATTTGTGTAGGTAATATCTGGATGCTCCTCTGTATAACTTTTTAACCAAAAATTTCCTTCCCCTTCTTTAGGCATCTCTTGCTATCAGTGTCTGAACTTAAGGGGCGTCACACAGGACAGGCCTTTTCCTGGGGTAGCGTACGGCCCTGGGTGCGAAGCCGGCAACCTCGACAAGGATTTTCTCGCCCCTTGCGAAGCAGAACCCGGGAATGCTCCGCTAGACTCGTGTTACGATATGGAAATGGTGATGAATAACGTCACAATTATTGTCCGAGAATGCGGAAACCTTGAAGAGTTGGGCGGGGTCAGGTGCTTCGCTGCTGATCAACGTGTTCGAGGAACCCTTTGGACTGTCCTTAAAATCTTCGAAGATTTCTTGTTCAATAATCCCGTCCTTCCGGAACGGCCTCCCGCCGATATCCCGATGAATCTGTGTAGCTGCAAGGGGGACGATTGTAACGGGAAATGTACTTGCGGCGGGACTGGAAATGCGAGGAAAGGGGTCATCATATCGGAGTTTCTGGTCCCTGCAGCAATGATCATTTCGTTGGCGAGAACGCGAGAACTTGAGTCGATTATAAATTTATAAGGGACCATCCATATATTTCATTATCAAAAATTCTCGATTTTAGCACGGACCAACCAAACGTGAGTATGCCTTAATAAATAAGGATTTTTAACATGGGAAAAATATGATCACCCGCCCAATAAAATTATTACGTAATATATCGACGTTCACTTAAAATTTTCGTTACTTCTTTGTATCCTAAGTATTTTTCACATCGCAAAATAACCTACGAAGTGATTTTATAAGGCTGAGGCTGAGACATAAGCAAAATTTTGCTCTGAAAATCATGTTATTACACTTACGATTTTTACAAGCCTTCTTTTTTCTTCATATAAAGATCGCTCACGATGGTATCGGACTTCCCCGCAAAGAGTGCGCTAGGTGGGAACACAGCGAAATTTAAAAAAATTATTTTTGAATAGACCAAAGTATAAGCTTTCCATCGATATATGTCAACAATTATTGAGTCACGGCTAAAAGTAGAATAACTTGGGTTGAAAGGGAAGAGTTGGAAAAACGAGGAATTGAGTTTCATAAAAATGAAGCAAACAGTGATTCCAAAACTACTCGGCATTTTTTTTTAAAGAAAAAGGTAGTTCTGAACCCAACATCAACTACCGAGGGAACCTTTTATAGTGCCCGGAGCTCCCAGCATATCCAATGTATATATTAGACGCAGTTTTTAATACTAGTCCTATGATGTGACAAAATCTCCGTGTCAAAATGACATTTGGTCAAGTGGTGACGATTTTAGTGACGCGCGGAACGGTCACTTTCTCCCATGATTTCAATAGTGCAGCTACTATTGAAATCATGGGAGAAAGTGACCGTTTCGTGATCGGGCTGAAATTACGCGGACGGGTACATAAATATTTTTTCAATATTCTATAAAGTTCATTTCATCATTCTAAACGCTGGGGGCTATGTTAAAAGCATTGGGAAAATGCAGGTTTTGGTGCAGTTCTCGCCAAATATTTCGCGAAAACGTGATTTTGCACCGCATGTTCTATGACAAAGTTTAGTTTCATTAATTATCTGTCGATTAAGGCTATTACGAAGGAAATCGAGATGGGACAGTAGTTAAGGTTCCCTTGTAAGTCCAAATATTCTAAGCTATCAGAAACGCCAGAAACCTTAATTAAATTTAAGAACAGATGGAAGAAAATCACCTTGAAAGTAGGTGCAGCCTATGGGCGGAATTTGACGCGAAATCTGAAGAAGAAAATACAATCTGTAGCACATAGCGGAATTGAATCATTAAAATTTGAACTGTATGGCAATCCATACCCTTTGGTAGTAAACATATGCAACTTTTTTGAAATTAGATTTGATGATCTTATGGTCGCACTTCCGCTCCGCTGGAGCGGAAGTGCCACCAGTGAAAGAGAAAAAGTGAAAGAGAGAAAGTGAAAGAGAGAAAGTTTACAAAATATTAAAATGAAAAAAAGTTTCTTCTACTAGCGAGGTGCTTCCGCACCCTAGCGTGCGGATGGGAGACCAGTGAAATAAAAGCTCCACCAGGAGAAAAAGTTTTCTCTCCGAGCAGCTGCTGCTACAAGGAGCTTGCTCATTAACTAATGTAAGCCATGCACGTTATTCACTACTATTAATATCAACTTAAATGCAACGTGCAATTTGCAAAGAAAATATTCACATTTGAGAGGAGATTATTTTAAAAATAAATACTTGCAAAAGTGTGTGTGTGTGTGTGTGTGTGTTTGTGTGATGAAGGGTCATACAGGATGGAGATTGATATCAATAAATTGTAACAACAGCACCAAAGATAGGATGATAAATGAAGGTTTTATTTTCTGGTAAGTGTGTAGGTTACATGAAATATATGTACATATGAAAATACGCATGTTTCATTGCAAAATATTTGCAAAATTAAGCTTGGTATGCTTAGTTCATTAATTATTTTAGATTTTAGTTATGATTTTCATTATTATTTTTTCTTTCTTTTCAAGTTACATATTCCGTCTTACTGCAACATTGTGTCTTACAGCGGAAAGTAAAAGTAACTCGACCAAGAGAGAAAAGTTTCTTCCACTAGTAGCTCCAACAAGGAGCTCGCCCACCAACTAATGCAAGCATGTTCTTCAGGTACAGTTCAATATAGGAGACATTTTATGTAACAAATATTAACATTTTTGAGGACATTAATTTCAGTTATTAGATTAAATATTTGGATTAAGTTTGTGCGTGTGTTTTATTTATTGAATCAAGGGTCGTGCGGGAAGGATGGTGAAATTTTAACATTAGCTGCGAAGATATTTAAGTTTAAGTAAATTTTACTTAGTTTATATTGAATATAGTAAAAATTGCTCGTTTTTATTTTCCAGAGGAGCCATATCCTTTGGCGTCACGCCGAGAAGCAACAGGTGCTGTGGTGGTAATAATTTCATCAAACGTAGACTTCTTCAACGGTCCATTATGGAGTTTTATAATCAAGAACTGAGCAACACGATCCCCAAGTTCAACTTGATATGGAAGTTTCCCATGGTTGATTAGCATAACCCCCAAAGTTCCTTCAAAATCTTCATCGACCACGCCCCCCATGACGTCAATTTTATGCCGCAACGCTAACCAAGACCTTGGTTTAATCAAACCAACATGGCCCAACGGTAATTTAACTTGAATCCCAATATCCATCAATATCATTTCCCCTGCTTTAAGTAACGCTCCGGATTGACAGTACAAATCATAACCAGCAGATTGAGGGTGCAACTTTGTTGGAAATTTACTTTCAAAGGTCTTCCTAATAAAGTGGACCGTTCTATAGTCATCTAGAAGGTTAATATTTATACATTTTTTATTTAAACTTCAATTGTTAGTCAAACTATTATAATTATCGACTTATTTTTATATATTTGAAATATGTAGGAAATCAACTACTACATTCAATCCATATAATGAGGAGATACCATCAAAACGGGATACCAAAAATTGTCAGGTAAAAGAAAGCTTTCTTTGGCTTGGAAAATCGAAGTCATAGCTACGTTACATGATTTAACAAATTTTAATTTTCTTTGGAGTGTTATAGGCAAGAAGTGAAAAAACTGTGTATGTCCCATTATATAATCGTTATTTGAAATAATTATAAGATCTTCCGAATTTTTATAGACGCCCTGATTAGAATCTACTTCCTCTGACCAACCAACTTGTTCAGCTTAAGAGAGGTAAAGAAAAAATAGATTTCAGTTTAATTTTGAAAGGATTTATGGGATCCAGGTAGTATAATCAGGGTCTGTGTCAATCTTTGTTTGCAGGGTATTGCAAGCTGCAACCAACCATTGAAAATCTTTAAACGACAGGTTTGCCCCTGTGGTTTGATTCTTTCTGATGCAGACATAAGCCTGCCCATTTTTTCTCCAAGTTTGGAGTTTTAGCCAAAACCCCTGACCTAGCTGGCCCTCCCAATGGACAATATTTTGTCCACTAGGATCGTCACTCCTTTCCCCTTCGGGAGCAAAATTAAGCGAAATAGGACCTTTGTAAGATGATGAAGGCACATATGCTTCATATGCTCCGGAGCTGATGATGATGAGCTTGCAGGAGGAATCGTAGTACGAGCAACAGGAACAAGCGCCGTTGAAGGAACAGGAACAGCAGAAGGCGGAACACTCTTGACTCGACCTCTCTTCTCCGCTGGGGACTTTTCTGCAATTAATAGAAATAAAAATTTAAAGCTTATGGTTACAACAAATTTCCCTATTAACATTTTAAAATAATTATTGACATCTTACCCTTTTCAGCCATCTTCCTCTTGTTAGCGGCGGCAGCAGCCTTGACTGTCTTCTCTTCAGGACCAGTGTAGAACAAGCTTAACGGGTTTCGACGAGCGGCATCTAGCTCCTTCTTGGAAGCAGCGTCAATCTTCTTCGCATCAGCTGCATTCTCCCTTGCTTCCCGTCGTCGTTTCTGCTCCGTATATAAATCAACTTTTTTCAGTTTAACAACTGGCTCCAGTTTCTTTGATTTGGTTGCAGGTTCTTTGCGCTTTGACTTACTTTGGCACTGCATACAAATCATCCACGAGGTTCAGCCCTAATAGTAGAAACAATTTACAATTAAATTAAAAATGAACAATAAGTATATGACCTAATAAATCAAATAAAATATCTTACGTTTTTGCGAATGTTCATTTGCAGGAACAAAATCAGGATCCTCCTCTGGCTCAGACGGAGAATCCTCGTCCTCTTCGTCTTCATCCTCCTCCTCATCAGTGAAAGGTCCGCTTGGTTCCTCCTCATCATCGTCTACGACGAATCCAGCGTCAAAGACTTCAGGTTGTCGACGGTGAGAAAGAAGAAAAGCTCGTGCGTCCTCAGACTCTCGACTTCCTGGCTTAGCCTCCTCTAAGATTTTTCGTGCTCTTGCCACTGCGTTTATCCCTGCTAAAATTTACGTAAATATTGGAATTTATTTAAGATTTCAAGTTTATATTTTATCAACATTTGAAAATTTTCCTAAAGCTTGTTTAGTTTCTTAAAATTATTTTATTTGTGTTTTAGGAAAACTTACCCTGAGACATTTTGGAGTTTTTAAAGTTTTTATTTCTTCTTTGGAAATCCTTTGCACGTAATGTTGAAACATTGACTAACTTGCTCATTATTTTGCCAATTGTTTTTATAGTCTTAGTAATTTACAAAAAAAATTCCAAAATAAGTACATACCGTAAAAATGTAATAACTCCCTAGGGGTTACTAATTCAATTATTTACAAAATACAGTTAATAGTGGTAAGTGGTAATTAATATTTTTTACAGTATTGGAGTTGAAGTGATGGTATGTTTTATTATATGTAAACACATTCCTGGTATTAAGATAATGACGTCACGCCGAGATATAAAAAAAGATGTTGTTATACATATTTTCTCACAAACATTTTTTAGAATACACACTTCTTGACTTTGATTTTGGAAATTTTGGTAAGTTATTTTTTATTTATTTATTATTTTTAAATTTCCAAGTTTAAATTTATACAATTAATTCTCAAAATTTGTTTTTTTTTTCTCCGTGCTTAGTGTATGAGTACTTCATTTAGAGCAACCTAATAATAGTTGAGAGATTTACATCACAAAGAAAATGGTGAGATCACTTAGACAAGAATGTGTATAAACTGTTGATAGTTACTGAGATTGTTGTTTTATTTTGGCAGGCTCCTCGTATTAAGACGACAACATTGCAATGCTTGAAATGTTTTAGGAGATTCTTAAATCGTCAGCATTTTGCGTCACATTTACTAAGGCACCGAGATGAAAACAAGAGAAAATTGTGTCAATATTGTACCATGTCATTCAGGTCGTCATTTTTGATCTTATAGAGCACAATGAAGCTCATAAAAGAGGAGTTATAAAATCCATGAAATTTGATCAAAGAGGAAGAGGGCTACGACTGAATGCTTTCCCTTTCTCTGAAATTGAAGCCTTTCAAGGCTTTATGAAAACTTACAGATTTAGAAATACACATGAGGATAATAATATTATTTCTGTTAGAGATTTTTTAATAGATTTAAGTTTAAAATTAATCAGATTCTATTTCACAATGTTTCAATTTATAATAGCATTAAGTTTCAAATGACGCTTTTGTGTAAATTTAAACGTATTCATCCAAGCGTGGATGAAGAAGAGGTAGAATTCATGGAAACAACAGAACAATATTTTAATTCTTCTCTTAAAATTATCCTCAGTCCCCTCTACATTAATAGAATCTTTTGTGACATGGTTAATCAAATCGATAATAATGTGGAAATCTTCGAACGAAATGGCAGTGGTTGGATATTAGATGAAGTGAAAGGCTGTGATATACGAACAGCTCAGTTTGAAATATTAAAGGGTGGATGTTCGTGCATCATTCCCAGCCATCTGAAAAATAAGAATGCCATTGTGAATCCCGATAATAAGGAAAATGATTGCTTTGTTTTAGCTTTTCTGATCTGCATGCACGGAGATTCAGTAGATAACAGGCATCGTGGAATAATATCTCAATATGAAAAATTTAAAACTCACTACGATTTCTCTTCGTTAAAGTTTCCAACATCGTTGAAAGATATCATAGCATTCGAAAAGCGGCACAAACATATTAAAATTGGTATTAATGTGTTTGGTATTGATCAAGAAGAGCAGCTTAACGTTTTACGCCTAACACCTCATGCAAATAGCAGAACGCATAAAATCGTATACATTCAGGATGCTTTTAAGCAACATGGGCATTACATGTCTATCCTGAATTTTTCTCGCCTAATCAACAGACAGGGACATCATCGAAAATTTGTTTGCTACAATTGTTTGAATACTTTCGGAGATGAAAAGCGTCTTGATTCACATCAGCAGTTGTGTTTTGAGTTTAAAACTCAAAAGGTTTCTGTTCCTTCAGTCGTTGATGGAAAAATTCCATTCTGCTCTTTTGAGAGTAAAAAACTTAGTAATAAACTAAAGTGTAACTTTGTGATATATGGAGATTTTGAAGCAATGCTCACAGACGATAATACCAGTACGACCTCAATAGATAAACACAAAATTTCAGGATATAATCTTGCAGTAATTGGCCCAAATAAGAAACTGGTTCATATATCGAAATATCGTGGTCCAAATAGCATTGACAAATTTATAGATGAGGAATCTGCAAGCGAATCTCAAGTGAATCTACAAGCTAGCTTTTGCATACAAAGGAACAAAATCCATATCGCTATGAAACAACTTTCTCTAGAAGAAGAATATGATTTTTCTATGGCAGATTCCTGCCACATTTGTGAGCATGATTTTGATCACCAATCTATAAAAGTTCGAGATCATGATCACAATACTGGATTATTTAGAGGAGCTGCTCATAGAGAATGTAATGCTTCGTAAATTCAAAAAGGCAAAATCCCTGTACTTATGCATAATTTTAGAAATTATGACTCTCACCTGCTGTTAAGTTCAGCAACGAAATTTGGTTCTGGGAATACGTTTGTTATCCCTCAAAACTCTGAAAAATTTATAGGCATTATTTGTGATAAGTTCATGTTCATAGATTCTTTCATGCATCTGCCCAAATCTTTAGATACTCTTGTAACAAACCTTCATGCAAAACCCGAAGGCGTTGATGACAAGTTTGGTATAATGATACAACATTTTTTAAAAGAACGGGCTGTAAAACTCTCAAGGAAAGGTGTCTATCCATATTCTTATTTCAGTTCTTGGGATAAATTTAAGGAAACCAAATTTCCCGATATTTCAGAGTTTTATAACACCCTCACTTGTGAAGGGATTTCACAAGAGGATTATGATTTTGGTAAGTCAGTGTTTGAAACCGAATGCACTGACCTGGGTTCGTACCACGACATATATTTAACAACAGATGTACTTCTGTTGGCATGCGTTTTTGAAAGCTACAGGGATATGGCAATTTCTAACTTTAAGCTTGACCCTTGACCCTTGTCATGAATCAACTCTCGAAGCATCAGCGGGAGCTTTTAACTTCCTATAACATTAAATATTCAGAAACGCAGAAAAAATTAGTTCCTCATTTAGGATCTAGAAAAATGTATCCAGTGCATTATAGAAATCTCAAATATTATTTGGAGAAGGGAATGGTATTAACAAAGATTCATAAGATAATTAAATTGTTCAAAGGCCCTGGCTTAAAGATTTTGTAAACCTTTGTTGTGATTTACGACGAAAAGCTACAAACAAATCTGAGCAAGACTTTTTCAAGCTAATAGTTAACGCAATTTTTGGACGTAGCATGATGAATGTTAGGAATCAGCAAAATGTATATATAGTTAATAGTATTGAAACAGCAAAATATTATTCCAGGCTTTCGAACTTCAGAAAATTTGAGATTCTTTCTCCAAACTTGGTACTTGTTTTCATGAGTAAACCTAGTATTGTATTGGATAAGCCAATATATACAGCGTTTTCGGTTTTAGATCTCAGCAAGTTGTTTATGCAGGTTTGGCATTATGACACGATCAAAAAATGGTATGGAATTAAAGCCAGGTTCCTTTTTACAGATACGGACAGCTTAGCCTATCAAATTAAAACCGCTGATCTTTATGCTGATTTAAGACTGGTGAAAAATGATTTTGACTTTAGTGATTTTGACCACACTCATCCACTTTATTCTACAGAAAATAAAAAAGTGATTGGTAAAATGAAGGACGAGAGTAACGGAAAAATCATGTATGGTTTTGTGGGTGTTTCTCCAAAAATGTATTCCTTTGCAGGCAAGAATATCCATAAGATTGCTATGAAAGGAGTCAAACAATCTTTAGTACGAAAACATGTAACTCATAAAGCTTTTATGGAGACTTTGTTTGAGCAAACAAAATATATGTGCAGAATGAATTTGATTCGTTCAAAGAATCATAAACTAACAACTGCAAATTATACAAAAGTAGCTTTGCATAGTTTTGATTCGAAACGTTTTATTTTACCCGATGGAATTAGTACACTTGCTCACAATCATTTTTTGATTCCTACGTACAACAAGTAAAATATTTAAAATTAACAAGTACCAATTATTTATTTAGTGAATTATTGTACAGTTTAAACATAACAATAAAATGATTATAATTACAAATATATAAATAATAAATAAAATATGTACAGTTTAAGGTTTGAAAACTTTTGTTATTCCCTTAATTTGGCATCTACAAATAGGACATAGGTCTTGGGTAGTAGAGCATGGAAAGCAGGAGCAAATGTGACAACATGGAGTGAACATGTAATTAGCTTCTTCGAGTTTACACACCGAACACAGAAATGTTTCCATCAGCCTATGAAGGAGTGTAAGAGTAGCATTTTCTTGATTTTCACCATTCTCATCCTTTGACGAATTTATTTGTTTGCATAGACTCTGTAATAAAAAAATAATAAAACAATAAAATAATTATTTTGATAAAACTGAAAATATATAAAAGCATTACAAAATTACATTATATTTTTGGTAAGTATAACTTTGGTCTAAATCCTTCGATAAAATAGTCTGCAATTTAGGTTTGTGCAACGAGAGGAATGGACAGTCACTTGAATGAATAGAGTGTTCAATCCAGGGATCATCACTTGGCAGCCAATTATGGATTATTATTCCACAATAATAACAAGAAAGCCGATCTCCATATCCAGTAGAGTAAAATCCTGCTTCACTAAAATTTTTGGGATTTTGCTTACATTTTCCGGTCCAGTTTTTGAATGTTGCTAAACGATCACTATTTAGACACATATCTTTGTTATCAATATCGTATGGTTTATAGACCAGAGTTGGAAAAGTTTCATCTTGGAGAACCATGTTTAGTATTTAAAATAAATACGGAAAACCTTATCTGATTAGAACTGAATCGCATGAGCTCTGACACTACAATGAACATATCACTAATATGTCGTACTACTTTAGCATAGTTTATTAAATTATTAAAACAATTTTTTACACAAACCAGACCTCAAAGTTAAGAAGGAATTTTTTTGTTGTTGTTGTTCAAAAACGAATACCTCAGTCAAAAGCCATTCTATCATGTGGGAAACCATATGAAGTCTTCTGTCTTGATGTAACGTCCTTAGTGTTGCGGGGTCTTTGGGGAATTCCCGTTGGAGTACGATATGGGTCAAAGGTTTTATTCAGAGCATCATTTTGGTTTAACGGTTCCCATGCACTGAAGCTCGACAGCTTATGAGCACTGAGCGTAGCTGTTTGTTTTAGAGGAATAGAATCTAAGGTACCCATAAGATCATTTCTCACTACAGTTGAAAATAGAGCGGCAGGGACATTTAACATTTTACACACTCTCAGGAATCTGTTGATTCCGTTTGGGGATGTGGTCCATTTCAAATCTCTAATGGAGTAACTCATTAAATCCGAAATGTTAGAGTCAGGTTCAAACTCACTTCCCCAGAAAGTTACTCGTCCTGATTTATCCCATTTTATCATTTCAGGATGACACTTTAAAAACCCGAGCAAATTGTGAGCTTTATTCATTTGAGTGGTAGGAAATTCTTTCAGCATTTTTATATCTGATTCAGATAACGTGAATTTTTCAGGGGAACCAACTGGAGTAGACTCTGTGCTAGAAGGAGAGAAAAACAAGAGAAAAACACCAACTGCACCTAAGAAAAGAAGATCAATTTTTAGTAAACGGGATATATTTGGATAATGGCATTAATTAACGAATTCTCTCAACCGTCTATTAGGGGACAAGTAGAGTTATTTGGTCTTCCACCTACAGACACAACGGTTGAATCCAGTTTCTGCGCAGAATATAAACCTGTTGTAAATATACAAGATAACGATGCAAAAATTGATTTTCGAATTACTGGAAATGCATCGCAATATCTTGACTTGTTTGACCATTTCTGTTATCTTAGAGTAAAAGTTGTTGCATCGGATGGAAAAGATTTACCAGCAGCAGCAGAGGTTAGTACTTCTAACTTATTTATGCATTCCCTGTTTTCGCAATGTGATGTTAGTATAAATAATCAACTTGTTTCAACCAGCAATAACTGTTACATGTACAAAGCTTATTTAGAAACAGTTTTGACATACGGAACTGATTACATAAATTCCCAAGCGACTTGTCCACTATTCTACAAAGACACTGATAATGGATCGCTGAAAGATACTAACACAGGCTACAAAAAAAGAAAGCAATGGATTCAAGCCTCGAAACCGGTGGAATTAATTGATAAATTAAAATTTGACCTTGCTTATCAACATCGATATATTTTGAATGACACAACAGTTACCATTAGCCTAGCCAGAGCTGTTGAAACGTTTTCCCTTTTGTGCGGGGCACTTGCTTCAGGTAGTCCCGCGATTAATCCCAAAGTAAAATTCCTTGATGCGAGTCTATTTGTTAGAAAACATGTTTTATATCCTAGTATTGTCTTGTCTCACCAAAAGTTACTTGAAGGAGGGCATAGTGCTCGATACCCCTTCAAAAAATCAGAAGTAAAATTTTTTTTCAATTCCAAAATCGTCACAATCCTTTATCGAAGAAAACGTTTTCCTTGGTACAATCCCAACTAGAATTGTCATCTGTCTAATTCCGAGTAAGGGTTTTGTTGGGGACTATGACGTTAATCCTTATGTATTCCCCCATTACAATCTTAATTATATATCATTAAGTGTGAACAATGTTCCCTATCCTATTAAAGGTTTACAACTTGATTTTGACAGTGATATTAAGTTATTACCATATTATTTACTGTATTGTTCTCTTGGAACAGCAGGACAAGATCAAGGTTTGACTTTTGACAGAGAAGAATTTTGTAGTGGTCAGACATTTTTTGGATTTGACATTAATCAGTCTACTGGGTCAGATTCTGCACTACAGTTGGAAAAAAACGGATGTGTAAGAATCGAATTAAAATTTGCTAACGCACTGCCTGAAGCGGTAAATTGTTTAGTTTATTCTGAACATTTTAAAATCTTGGAGATTGACAGATTTAGACAAATTTCTGTACAATAATGAATTCTTTACAACTTCGATATGCCTTAATCAACTCTATGAACCTTTTCATAGCTGTTTGTGCCAAAGATCAGTTAGATAGTATTAATTCAAAAACGTTTGCAATTATTAGTAATAACCAATCTTCAAACGAGGCAGGGATGCACTGGTTAGCTTTCTACAAAGAAACTGAATCGTCTGTTCTAGAATTTTTTGATAGCTTTGGAATGCCTTTAGGTTTTTATGGAAAAGAATTTGAAGATTTTGCATTAAGAAACGAGAAAAAGGTTAGACAGTCAGCATCTCAATTTCAGTCAAATTCCAGCAATCTCTGTGGAGGGTATTGCTTATACTTCTTAATTAATCGAAACCGTGGCTTGTCCTACGATAAAATTTTAAATAAATTCAACTCAGAAAATACTCTTGTGAATGATAAAATAGTATCAAACTTTGTAAAAACAAACCTTTACTTTCCAAAATGTTCCAAATGTGGAATCGAATGTAGCGGAAAATGTGCAAATAGTCTCAGCGATATTTGTATTCAGAAAAATAGACATTGCGTTCGGATATTTCAAACAATTCAATCATGAAAACAGACAAACTTTTGAAAGAAATCTACTTTAATCCAAAACATATTGGAAGTTTTGGTGGACCACATCGGTTATCTGCAGCAACGGGAGTATCCCTGAAGGATGCTGTAACTTTTCTACAGCATTATGAAACATATACAACAAACAAATCTGTGAAGCATAAATTTTTTAGACGTAAAATGACTTCCCACGAAGTTGATTATTGTTGGCAAGCTGATTTAATAGATATATCAAAATATTCAAGATTAAACAAGGGAACAAAATATTTATTAACAGTAATAGATACTCTAAGTAGATTTGCTTTTGTTAAACCTCTAAGAAAAAAAGATGGAAAATCAGTAACAGAGTCTGTCAAGGAATTAATCCTAAACTCAAATCGGAAACCAAAATTCATACAAACAGACGAAGGAAAAGAATTTTTTAACAAACAATTTTATAATTTATTAAAGGAACAAGACATAAAATTATTTCATAACCATTCGCCACTTAAAGCAGCAATGGTCGAAAGGTTTAATAGAACTCTGATGACGAGATTACAAAAAGTTTTCACATATAGAAAAACAAATGTGTATTATGATATTTTACAAGAAGTAGTAGATTCATATAATGAGAGCAAACACAGAATTATTGAATGTTCGCCTAGGTCTGTCAACAAGTATAATCAGATGGATGTTTGGTTTCGGAGTAATAAAGATGTTCTTATGATGAAGCATCAAAAACCGAAGTTAAAATCAGGAGATTTTGTTAGAATTAAAATAAATAAAGCGCTTTTCAGGAAAGGCTATTCCCCTACTTTTACAGACAAGATTTACAAAATTAGCGAAGCTCATAACAGCAAACCTATGACATATTCCATAATGGATAATTCAGGGGAAAAATGTTAGGAATTTTCTATCCTCAAGAACTATCTAAAGTGTTAACCTAAGCTATTTACATGCAAAATTATTTGAAAAATGAAAGCGGTCCCCATTTCCGCTGGTGCGGAAATGGGGACCGAGATTCATCAGGTATTAATTATCAATACTACTTTGGTAGAGTCATACATGAATACCATTTGGTATTAGCTTAACACTGGATTTCTAGGAGTGCATGTATTTATATTTCCAGTGTGGTCCAAGTTTTCCGTTCAATTTTACTGTTGGGATAATTATGTTACGTTCGTTTGCGACCTGTGATTTACCCGTTATGTTGTTACATATAACAAAATATTAAATTTGGCTTCTAAATTATTCAATTATGTAAATTCTACTAATTTTAAATATTTTTACTAAAATTTTATCTTTGCTAGCTCAACGAATTTGTTTTAAGTACCTATTCCATTTTTTATTCATTT